TCTCTCTCCTCAGTTCCCCTCTGTCTCCAGCAATATTTTCCCTGCCCTTCTCCCCCTGTACCCTGACACAATGACTTTTGTTCCCAACTCTCAACTATGCATTTCCTAAAGACTCCTCAAGGACTAAATCCATGACCTTCCAGCATCCTTCTGACATGTCAAGCCTTGCTCCACTAAAAAGACTGACCTCTCAGCTTCCTAGACACCACCACCATTGTGGCTTCACTCCCACTCTCTACCCACCCCTAAAGCAGAAGAACTCTTCCCTTCTAGCCCAGATCCTTTCACTCAGTACCCCGACTGCTTCCCAACTGGTGCCACCCAAAATTGCACCTGCAGCGAGGGCGTCAGCATGGCTGTGGGCCCATGGAGTGTGCTCTCCAGTGGGACCGCCATGTGGATATCCCATGGGGATCTCAAGTCTACCCATCCATGCACTAGCCTCATGTTCACCCCATCTCGAGGAGGCGCATAACCAGACACCTCAGGCAGGCATTGTGATGCTTTTTTTTGAAACAGGGTCTCATTCTGTTGCCCAGGCAGGAATGTAGTGGTGTGATCTTGGCTCACTGCAGCCTCCACCTCCTAGGCTCTCCGATCCTCCTGCCTCAGCCTCCTAAATAGCTGGGACCACAGGTGGTACCACCACACCCGGCTAATAGGCAGGCATTTTGGATTCTCATTGGCAGCTCCTTCCCTGCCATAACCTGTCCCATCAGTTCTTTCCTTCCCTACCAGACACTGCCTTTTCTCCAGGTCTATCATTCCAACTTCCTCATCCCTGGATGAGGCCCCCTGGTCTGAACTAAGGGTACAAGCTGGTGGAAAGAATGGGTGACGGAGGCTGTGTTTACAATGCCTTTTTCTTTTTCTTTTTTGAGACAGGATCTTGCTCTGTCATCCAGGCTGGAGTGCAATGACGTGATAACTGCTCACTGCAGCCTCGACTTCATGGGCTTGGAATATCCTCCCACCTCAGCCTCCCAAGTAGATGGGATTACAGGAACACACCACTATGCCAGGCTGATTTTTAAACTTCTTGTAGAGATGGGGTCTTGCTATGTTGCCCAGGCTGGTCTTAAATTGCTGGCCTCAAGCGATCCTCCAACCTCAGCCTCCCAAAATGTTGGGATTACAGGTGAGGCACCCTACCCCACCCACAGCACTTTCTGTCACTGACTGTATCATCAATAGTCCCTAACAGAGAAGGAAGGGCAAAGATGGTAGGTATTAAAAGGGGCTAAATCCCCCCCAATGCCTCCCTGCCTGGGTCCACCATAGCTTCTTTCCCATCCCTCACCCATTCACCATTCAGGGATCAAAGTGGTCTTTCTCATACACAAATCTCAAAGGCCTGGTCCTGCTTTAAATACTTTGATGGATTCCACAGTTCCTAGGTCAATCAAGATGCATGACCCTGAACTGCCTGGCTCCCACTAACATCTCCACACCCCGGGGGTCCCTACAAAGCACTCACAATGCCACAGCTCTCAACAAGCTGTTCCTTCTGCCTGAAGGGCTCTTCCTCCCCTTCTTCACCTGGACAGCACCTGCCTTTCATTCGGCCAGCATTTTGTTTTAATTTTTACTTTTTTAAATAAACTTCTTGTAGAGATGGGGTCTTGCTATGTTGCCCAGGCTGGTCGGGAATGCCTGGCCTTGAGCGATCCCCTGCCTCAGCCTCCCAATCTACTGGGATTACGGGTATGAGCCACCATACCCGGGCCGTATTTGCTTTAGGTCAAATTGGCTCAGGTCATAGATGAGGAAAGATTCGACATCAACACCTTTTATTTTCCTAAGACAAACAGACTCTTTGAACTGGAATGACTTAACATGGAGCAGCACAACAATCGTTACAAGGTCTCATTTTGAAAACTGATTCTTTTTTTTTTTTTGAGACGGAGTTTCGCTCTTGTTGTACCCAGGCTGGAGTGCAATGGCGCAATCTCGGCTCACCACAACCTCCGCCTCCTGGGTTCAGGCAATTCTCCTGCCTCAGCCTCCTGAGTAGCTGGGATTACAGGCACGCGCCACCATGCCCAGCTAATTTTTTTTTTTTTTTTTTTTTTTGTATCTTTAGTAGAGACGGGGTTTCACCATGTTGACCAGGATGGTCTCAATCTCTTGACCTCATGATCCACCCGCCTCGGCCTCCCAAAGTGCTGGGATTACAGGCTTGAGCCACCGCGCCCAGCCGAAAACTGATTCTTTTAAGTAAAGCAATGAGTCCTCTTATTTTGCACCCCTGATTCTCTCATCCAGTACCAGAGAAACTGCCTCTAAAAAACGTGGCTAGGTGCAGTTGCTCATGCCTGTAATCCAGCACTTTGGAAGGCTGAGGCACTTCAGGTCAGGAGTTTGAGACTAGCCTGGCCAACATGGTGAAACCCCATTTCTACTAAAAATACAAAAATTAGCCAGGTGTGGTGGCACACGCCTGTAATCCTAGCTACTCGGGAAGCTTGCTTGAACCCAGGAGGCAGAGACTGCAGTGAGCCAAGATCATGCCACTGCACTCCAGCCTGGGTGACAGAGTGAGTGAGACTCCATCTCAAAAAAAATAATAATAATAATACACTGGGTGTGGTGGCTCATGCCTGTAATCCCAGAACTTTGGGAGGCTTAGTTGGGTGGATCACCTGAGGTCGGGAGCTCAAGACCAGCCTGACCAACATGGAGAAACCCAGTCTCTACTAAAAGTACAAAAATATAGCCAGGCATGGTGGTGCATGCCTGTAATCCCAGCTACTCAGGAGGCTGAGGCAGGAGAATCACTTGAACCAGGGAGGCTGAGGTTGCAGTGAGCCACGATTGAGCCATTGTACTCCAGCCTGGGCAACAAGAGAGAAAATCTGTCCCCCATCCCCGCCCCCCCCACCAAAAAAAAATTAGCTGGGCTGGGTGGTGGGCACCTGTAATCCCAACTACTCGGGAGGCTGAGGCAGGAGAATCACTTGAACCCAGGAGGCAGAGGCTGCAGTGGGCCGAGACTGCACCATTGCACTCCAGCCTTGGCAACAAGAGCAAAACTCTGTCTCAAAAAATAATAACAACAAATTAAAAAGTGAAAACACCCAACTGTGCACCTTTCCTAGCTCCCTTGGCCATCCAGTCTTTCCCAGTGCGGTGCCAACAAGTCCTCCCCTGGGCTGGCAGACCTGGAGGACTCCCACAGGAAAACGTGTTCTGGAAGGCTTGGGCCCACCCCTCACAGGTGTACTCCTCTTGCTGCCATTTTCCCCCAGGTGCTGGTGGAGTTCCAGAGCTACACCTGTTCAGAGAACAATCTGCGGAGGAAAGGTCCCAGAAAGAGGCAGCAACTTGTGGGAGGCCACACAGCAATTTTGTGGGAGTAGCAGTCAAGCCCTGGGGCCTGAGGACAGACATAGGAATTCCCAGGCCAGGCCTCCTCCTGCAATTCCATAGCCTGTGATCCTCTGTCCCAAACGCCACACATAATTAGAAGCTATAATCCTGTAATTCCATGATGACATCTTTGAACTTAAATATACTTCAAAACTACTTTTTTTTTTAACGCTAAAAGCAACTTCACAAAAAAGTTTTCCCACTCTGTCCCACACTATCCTGCCCAGGGCCCCTCACCAGTGAGCAAAGCCCAAGTCTGCGTCACCTGGGAGAAGGAGCAAGACGCCAAGACCATTTAGGAACTGGATCCTTAGGCTTTGAACAATCAAGAATTGATTCGTTTGTGGGGAAACAGTTTCACTTCCCTATTTATAATTATGCACTGTCGTATCTATTATAAAAACAAAAATCAACAACAATCTCTACACCCACTCAGTGATCCCTGGCCAAAGGCCAAAAGCTATTTTTAGACTCCCTCCAGACTTAGAGGGAGGAAGGCGTGGAAGGTATAACCATGACGTCCGGCTCCAAACTGTCTTTGTAGTCCAGGTCCTGCCGCCTGCGGGTATCCCACGGCCCCTGCTCCGCGGGCTGGGGTCGCTTTTGAGGCACTGAGTTCCCAGACTGTGATCTTCTGGGCAGAAGGCGGCAATGTGAGCCCCAGAGCTGCCAGGACGTGCCAAGAGCCCGCGAGGCCCGCCTGCGCCCGCGCCCGCAGCGGGCCCGCCCCGCCAAGTCTCCCGGACAACAAGATAAATCCGCTTTAGCATACAGTGAGACGCACAAGACCGCGGGCCTCACCTGCCGCGCTCACGCCCTCCAGGGAGACCCGGAGCCGAGGACGGGGCAACGGCGGAGGCCCCCTTCCACCAGCAGGTCTCCCCTGCCCCATGTAAAGTCCCACAGGCGGACGTGGAAGCATTTTGGAGGCAAAAAGAAACAGCTGGCCAGGCGCAGTGGCTCGCGCCTGTAATCCCAGCACTTTGGAAAACAGGGGTGGGAGGATCCCTTGAGCCCAACCAAGAGTTCGAGAGAGAGACCCCAATTCTACAAAAAATTAGCCTGGCGAGGTGGCGCGCCTGCAGTTCCAGTTACTCAGAGGCTGGGGCTGGAGGATCGCTGGAGCCCAGGAGGTCGAGGCTGCAGTGAGCTATAACCGCGCTACTGCACTCCAGCCTGGGCGACAGAGAGAGACCTAGTCTCCTCAAATAGGAGACCGCCAACCCTCCTGGGATGGTCTTTCTATCTCCACCTGCAACGCGCCCAGAAGCCAAGGGGGCCAGTGCAGCCAGGAACCGGTCCTTTCCCCAGGCACTAGGGATCGCAAGCGCGGGGGGCATGTGGGGGAGGACTAGAGCACCCCTCCAGGTCCTACGCCCGCACCTGCGCTGGGCGGCCACATGCGCCTCCCATACTCCCAGCTCAGCCCCGGATGCCACCTGCCCTGGACGCCGGGAACACCACCGCCCTCCTTCCTCCCCGCCTGCCTCCGTCCGGCCAGAGCCGGCCCAGTGCGCCCCCTCCCCCTCCTGGCCTGGTGGACCCCGACCGCGCGCTCCCGCAGCCTCTGCACGGCCTGGGAGGAAAGAGGTCTGGAGCCCGCAGGTCCCCGCCCGCCCAAGGCCTCCCACCTTACGAAAGTAGCCATCGTTCTCCTTCTCCAGCGGCTGGGGGGTCGCAGGCAGCAGCGCGTCGGTCATGCTGGCGGCGCGGGCGCGGAGGGCGGACTGAGCCGCGGCGGTCAAGGCTGGCCGGAGAGGACGCGCGGCCCCGCCCCTGGCCCCGCCCTTCCCCTCCCCTCCACTCCCGCCCAGTCCCACGGGCCTTCTAGTCCCGCCTGGGACCCAGCCCCGGAGCCCTAGAGACGCTCCCTGCCCCGCCCCGGGCCCCGAGCCCGCGCCCCTAGCGGCGGTCGTCACCCAGAGACCTGCGCCCTGGGCGCGGAGCCTTGGGGTTGTCTCTGGATGTCGTGACTGGCTCACCTTTGCGAGCGCTGCGAGGGCGCAGGGAAGGCACAGAGATGTCAGGGGCCGGAGCGAAGTCTCTGTCTGGGGACCTGCCCCCTGTCCTGGAGGCCGGGGAGTCAATGAAGAGGACGTGGGTCCGAGCGGGTGAAACCCGCGCGCATAAGGGGAAGGGCCCAGACGCGACACCACGTCGAGGGCGCGGCGGGAGCTCTGGGCCCTGGACCCGGCGGTCCGGAAAAGCCTTCCGCAGGAGGGGTGCCCGGGGCCGAGGGAGCGTCGGCTGAGCTGCCGAGCGCCTTGCCCGGACTACAGGGGCTTGTTCGCAAGGGGTCCACCCAGCCGATCCCCCACCCTGACTGCAAAGACGAGTGGGATCCGCGGTGGTCGTGGACGGCCCTGAGCGAGGTGGCCAGAAGGGGGTTTGTGCCCTAGAAACAGCGATGTCCTTGAGCACAGTTTTTTTTTAAGAGATGGGTTCTCGCTCTGTCGCCCAAGCTGGAGGGCAGTGTTGCGATCTCGAATGAGCCTGGACCACCCAGGATCAAGTGATGCTCCAGGGGTGGGAGGATCCCTTGAGCCTAAGAGTTCGAGAGAGAGACCCCAATTCTACAAAAAATTAGCCTGGCGAGGTGGCGCGCCTGCAGTTCCAGTTACTCGGAGGCTGGGGCTGGAGGATCGCTGGAGCCCCAGGAGTCTCAGCCTCCCAAGTAGCGAGGACTGCCGGTGAGCGCCACCACGTCTCACCCTGTCTCCCAGGCTGGAGTGCAGTGGCCTTATCTCAGCTCACTGGGACCTCCGCCTCCCGGGTTCACTGGGACCTCTGCCTCACCCTCCTAAGTAGCTGAGATTACAGGCTCTCGCCACCACGCCCCGCTAATTTTTTGCATCTTTAGTAGAGACGGGGTTTCACCATATTGGCTAGGCTGTATCGAACACCTGACCTCGTGATCCGCCCGCCTCGGCTTCTCAAAGCGCTGAGATTACAGGCATGAGAGACCGCGCCTGGCATTAAAAAAAAAAAAAAAATTGCCGAGTCTCACTATGATATTCAGGCTGACCTTGAACTCCAGACCTGAAGTGATCCTCCCTGGTTGGCCTTCCAGAGTGTTGGGATTACTTGTGCGCGCCACTGCGCCCGGCCCGGAGCGCGGTTCTTAACCACCACTACAGACCTCAGTTTTCTCAGCTGCAAAACGGGACTCTTTTATTATTCCTGCATTCTTTTTCTTTCTCGCTTTGGTGGAGGGTATTAGGACAAAAGTGAGTGCTGGGGAGTAGGGATGAACTTGGTTTAGGAGGGAAAGGGTGACCCCTGGGGACGGGTTTTTATCAGTCTCCCACCAACCTCCTGCCTGCTGCTAGACTGTGGGCAGACGCCTGGCAGCACTGGCGCCGGGACCTTGCCACCTCAGCGGGGACCCCCAACCTGTAGGACCACGCTCCTCCCGGCCGCTGTCTTGCTGTTAGGACTGCTTCTGCCCCAGCAGAGGGACAGCCCTCAGCGGTATAGATGCCACAGGTGGAACATAAAGCAATGTGCTACAAAACCAGCCCAGTGTTAACAACTAAAAACAAACAAACAAACAAAAAGGCAGGGTGGCTCAAGCCTGTAATCCCAGCACTTTGGAAGGTGGAGGCGGGTGGAAGGTGGAGGCGGGTGGATCACCTGAGGTCCAGAGTTCAAGACTGGTCTGGGCAAGATGGTGAAACCCCGTCTCTACTAAAAATACAAAAATTAGGTGGTCATGGTAGCAGGAGCCTGTAATCCCAGCTACTGGGGAGAGGAGGCTGAGGCAGGAGAATCCCTCAAACTCAGGAGGGGGAGGTTGCAGTTAGCGGAGACCTAGACCATGCCACTGCACTCCAGCCTGGGCGACAGAGTGAGACCTTGTCTCAAAACAAAAAAAAAGGTAGTCACCGGAAACACAGTAGAGGGTGCAGCTGTCAGGGACGTTTCCGAAGTGAGTGTCTTCAAGCCTATGTGCTTCCCAAACTGCACAGGAAGCTATTGGGTTTGGTGCAAAGGTAATTCCAATTACTGGGTGAGTTGTGCCAGTCACAGAAATGTAGAAATTCAGCCTCTGCAGCCTGCAAGAACAGAACACCCCCATCCGGATTTAATTCTGCAGATGCTGCCCCATGACCTCCATCAAAGCCCATTAGGAGCTGAGTGCTTGAGGAGTGAATAAAAACTCCTCTAGAAAAAAAAAAGTTATATTAAAAACAAAAAAGAAGCAACTATCAATCTAATTTCAGCACTCGCAGGTCTATTACTGACAAACAGCTACTACCGTTTCAAGGATCAGGGAGCCGTGGGTCTCTCCCTTGCATTTGTAATGCTAATAAACTTATCAATAATACAGCCTTACTTTGGCCAGGGAGTTTATAGATATTAATGTTTAGTTCTTGAGACCCTTCTGCAAATAAAAGCAATAACCTTCATTTGACAGATTGCTCAGAGCAATGAAGTGGCCACCAGCACTCCCCTTGCTGGCTGAGGTCATTCCCTACCACCTTCAAATTTTTGCCATCTTTTTCTGCCACCTTAAAGCTCAAATTGCTAACCAGGTGCAGTGGCTCACTCCTGTAATCCCAACACTTTGGGAGGCTGAGGCAGGCAGATCACAAGGTCAGGAGATTGAGACCATTCTGTCTAATAAGGTGAAACTCCATCTCTACTAAAAATACAAAAAATTAGCTGGGCGTGGTGACACGCACCTGTAATCCCAGCTACGTGGGAGGCTGAGAATTGCTTGAACCCAGGAGGCAGAGGTTACAGTGAGCCAAGACTGCGCCACTAAACTCCAGACTGGGCGACAGAGTGAGACTCTGTGTCAAAAAAAAAAAAAAAAGGTGAATACAATAAAAGCCAAAGTATATTATTAAATTTAGCCAAACATCATTGCCTTTTTGAGTTGTTTCTTTTGTTAAAAAGGAAGAAGAGGCCAGGCACAGTGGCTCATGCTGTTAGTTCCATCACTTTGGGAGACCAAGGTGGGAGAATTGCTTAAGTCCAGGAGTTCAGCCTGGACAACATAGTGAGACCTATCTCTACAAAAAAATACAAAAATTAGCTGGGTATGGTAGTGTGTGCCTGTAGTCTCAGCTACTCTGGAGGCTGAGGTGGAGGAATCACCTGAGCCCAGGAAGTCAAGGCTGCAGTGAGCTGAGATCACACCTCTGCACTCCAGCCTGGGCAACAGGCGTGAGACTCTGACTCGAAGAACAAACAAAGCCAGGCATGGTGGCGCATGCCTGTAGTCCCAACTACTCAGGAGACTGAGGCAGGAGGATCCCTTGAGCCTAGGAGGTAGAGGCTGCAGTGAGCTATGATCGCTGCCACTGCACTCCCAGCCTGGGCAACAGACCAAGACTCTTGTTTAAAAATAAATAAATAGGCTGGGTGCAGTGGCTCATGCTTGTAATCCCAGCACTTTGGGAGGCCAAGGCAGGTGGATCACAAAGTCAAGAGTTCAAGACCAGCCTGGCCAATATGGTAAAACCCCATTTTTTTGTTTGTTTGTTTGTTTTTTGTTTTTGAGATGGAGTTTCGCTCTTGTTACACAGGCTGGAGTGCAATGGCGTGATCTCGGCTCACCGCAACCTCCACCTCCTGGGTTCAGGCAATTCTCCTGCCTCAGCCTCCTGAGTAGCTGGGATTATAGGCACGCGCCACCATGCCCAGCTAATTTTGTTGTATTTTTAGTAGACACGGAGTTTCACCATGTTGACCAGGATGGTCTCGATCTCTTGACCTCGTGACCCACCCGCCTCGTCCTTCCAAAGTGGGATTACAGGCGTGAGCCACTGCGCCCGGCCCAAGTAAAGCTCTGTTTTTACTAAAAATACGAAAATCAGCTAGGCGTAGTGGCGCATACCTGTAGTCCCATCTACTCAGGAGGCTGAGGCAGGAGAATCGCTTGAACCTAGGAGATGGAGATTGTAGTGAGCCAAGATCATGCCATTGCACTCCAGCCTGGGCAACAGATCGAAACTCGTCTCAAAAGATAATAATAATAAAATTTAAAATTAAAAAGGATGAAGAGTAAGAAAAGGACACACAGTGTTAAAGACACACCAGCCCACCCAAAGACTATCTCCTGAGCATCTTCAGAGGAAAAGGGGCACCTCTCTGTGTGAGTCCCAGCAGGGCATCTCTCCTGGTCACGTGAGGCAACTGAGGGTCAGTGCTTGGGGCTGCCGCTGCCCAGAACCAGACAACTGTAGACATTCTCATGACTCATCGCAGTGGTGTGCACAGATCTGTTTTCTTTATCTCTCATCCCGTTATGACCAGGAAATTAGAACTGCTGCCACCAACCCGACAGGACAGCAGCATCTCACCTCCTTTTTTTTTTGTTTCAGATGGAGTTTCGCTCTTGTTGCCCAGGCTGGTGGGATCTTGTTGCAATGGTGGGATCTTGGTTCACTGCAACCTCCTCCTCCTGGGTTCAGGCGATTCTCCTGCGTCAGCCTCCCAAGTAGCTGGGATTACAGGCACCCACCACCTCTCCTGGCTAAATTTTGTTATTTTTAGTAGAGACAGGGTTTCGCCGTGTTGGTCAGGCTGGTCTCAAACTCCTGACCTCAGGTGATCCACCCACCTCAGTCTCCCAAAGTGCTGGGATTACAGGCATGTGAGTCACTGCACCCAGTCTGATTAAGTATAGTTTATTACGTTTATTCATCCTCAAACATTCCAAAGCTTGAGGATAGCCACCCAGAAACATAGACTCCAAATGTATAGGGTTGACATTCCAAAGTGGAAGTCAGGCACGCTATCTCACGCCTGTAATCCCAACACTTTGGGAAACTGAGGTG